GGGGGAAGGGAGGGGTGGAGGGGAGGTATGGGTGGGGGAAGGGAGCATGGGTGGGGGTGGAAGGGAGTATGGGTGGGGAGAGGGGGATGGGGGTATGGGGTAAATATAAGGATTGTGGGTTTTGGACGGTGGTTGTGGTGGGTTGAAGGGGAAGAGCGGGAGGGGTATGTTTGGGGGAGATGGGGGGGGGGGTATGGGGATAGGGTACAGGAAGGTTGGTCTTAGAGGGAAAATGGGGGAAGGAAGAGATGTAATAGGTGGGACAAGGGAGATCTGGGAAGGAACGAAGGGCGAGATAAGTGAAAGAGGAAGAGGGAATGCGTGGGGGAGTAAAGAGAAGATGGGCGAAGGGGAGGTGAGACAGGTAGGGTGGGGAAGAGCTGGCGGTAAAGTGGAAATTTGGGAAGGTGGGGGCTAAAGGAGAGTTGTTTGGGTGTAGGTGTATCCAAGATGGTTGTGTGTTTGTACGTCTGTATCCTTGACTGTGTGTTTTGCAATTGCATAAGAGTATGCGCATATGTTAATTTATACGTATATCATGAAGAAGTGTATATAAGCGTGTTCTAGGGTATGCCTCTATACGTAAACATCAAAGTGTATTCTTACTCCACAACACATTAACAAACACCCTTGGCTCTCCCTCCAGAACCGAATGGACGGCGTCAAACAATACATGGAATTCCGCAAAGTGTCAAAGGACCTGGAGAATCGAGTCATAAAGTGGTTCGATTACCTCTGGAGCAACAAGCAGAGTTTAGACGAGGAAGGGGTAGGCAGCTGCTCTCATTCCGTCGGTTCTGGTTTTCTACTGCAAGGCTATTTTCTTCTGTTGCAAGGCCAATCATTTCTGTCATTTACTGTTGGAAGACCAATTATTTCTGTTATTTTCTGTTTCAAGGCCAATCATTTTTGTTTTGCTGTTGTTGGAAGGCCAATGAATTATGTTTTTTCTTGCAAGGCTAATCAGCTCTGTTGTTTTCTTGTTGCAAGACCAAATACAAATAGACATTTCTGTACTTTTAAATTTACAAAACCAAATTTACGAAAATGCATCACTCCATATCGTTTCCAAAATATTATAAATCTTATATACGTTATCAGTATTCGAAAAAAAATGCTAGTTACTAGTCATAAATCTGCCTCGAATCCACAGGTGCTGAAATCTCTGCCAGATAAGCTTAAAGCAGAGATCGCGATTCACGTGCATCTCGACACGCTAAAGCAAGTCAGGATCTTCCAAGACTGTGAGCCTGGCTTGCTGGTGGAGCTCGTTCTCAAGCTGAAACTGCAGGTGAGACAAATGAGGGATTAACTTCCTTTTTATGTCGATTTTCTTCTTCTTCTTCCTCTTCCCTTTCGTCTTTTTTTCGTTTTGGATTTTGTTGAGAATGGTGGTTGTGTTTTTTTTTCTTTTTTTGTTTTTCGTTTTGGATTTTGTTGAGAATGGCGGTGCGTGATGGTCTTATATCTGTTATTGAGTTAATGGTAACTTTACGGTGTAATGCGTACGTTACACAAGCAGACAGATAGATAGAAAGATGGATAGATTAGTAGACATGTAAATAGATATCTAGATAAGTAGATAGACATACACATACATTCATACCTACCTGCATATATATATATATATATATATATATAATATATATATATATATATATATATATATATATATATATATATATATATATATATATATATATATATATATATATATATATATATATATATATATATATATATATATATATATATATATATATAATATATCACAACATATATATATATATATATATATATATATATATATATATATATATATATATATATATATATATATATATATATATATATATATATAACACATATATATATATATATATATACATATATATATATATATATATATATATATATATATATATATATATATATATATATATATATATATATATATATATATATATATATATATATATATATATATATATATATATATAATATATATATATATATATATTATATATATATATATATATATATATATATATATATATATATATATATATATATATATATATATATATATAATATATATATTATATATATATATATATATATATATATATATATATATATATATATATATATATATATATACATATATACATATATCAAAGCGAATAGTAAGACCGGTTGAAAAATTCTCAAATACGTCTCTTACTTGTTTGATTCCTTGTTACCTTTTCGATTTCTGAATAAAAAAAATGAATTAATGAATGTCAAATACAAGGAAGTTAATGTTATGTTTTCATTTCATTTGAAATTTGAGATTACGCTTATGAAAAGACAACTAAAGAACGAGAATAAAACTGATCTCCCTAAAATGAAATGATTCTTAGAATTAAAAAGAACAGAAACGACGGAATTAATCATTGAGCCTTTATGAAGAATGAAATAAGATAAATATCTCATGCAAAGAAGTTTTTTGTATAAGGAC